CTAGGTGTGTGTGTGTGTGTGTGTGTGTGTGTGTGTGTGTGTGTAACTTGCCTGTCTAGTCATGTTTTGTTGTAATGTCGAGAAAGTCTGTTTTCTTTCTTCCTTACACACACACATACACCTATCTCGTCTGTCAGGACCACAACATCGTCAGGACCATAACACTGCCAGAGCCACTGCACTGTCAAGGCCTCAACAGTCAGGACCCCAACTCTGTATGGCCCACAATACTGTCAAGACCCCAACACTCAGGCCCACAAAATTCTCAGGACTAGAATAATGGCATGACCACAACACTGGGATGACCACAACACTGACAGGACCACAACACTGGCATGAACACAACACTGGCAGAACCACAACACTGGCAGAACCACAACACTGGCAGAACCACAACACTGGCAGAACCACAAAGCTGTCAGGGCCAGAACCCTGAGACAAGTATTTGTAAACCGAGGACGTGAGGCTGACTCTAAGTAGAGTGGCAGGAGCATCTTCAACAGATTGTCACTCTGAAGTGCTGTATCGTGTCCACGAATACAAATCTTCGTGTCGAGAAGGAAAGCAGCAGCAGCTGTGGGCAGAGTAAAATTATTCTCCGCGAGAGACAATTAGATTAATTGGTTTGAGAAGAAAAGGACACTCGAATGCCGTTGATACGCTATTAACGACATTGTTTTGCCCACTCACGACATTATCAAGTATTTTTTTTAATAAATAAAGAAGGCTGCAACCGCTTGATTGCAAAAATAAGTCATTGTTCCTATTAAAGGAATTTAAAAATCTTGTGTCACATCTTATGGTGTTATGATAATATTTAATGATTTTATGAGATTCAAAGGCTTGAGGCATCAAACTTGTTAAGTTCCTTTAAGCTCATATTTTATTCAAGGGTTACCTCATTACACAGGTTGTCCTTCATCGCCCTCCTAAGCACTAAATCCTCCTCCTCACAGCCTGCTTATATATACATCACACAAGTTATTAAGCTGAAAAAAATGATCTTAACTTTGCAGGTTAATACTTGCTATCTAGCTCACCTTATTTCTAGGTAAAGTCAAATTTATGGTATACTACCATCCCCCCATAATGCGACCTACAAATGTCCGTGTTTATTGCTAAGTGAACAGGGACAGTCCTAAAACCTAATCTAAGATCATTGGGCTGTGAGCGGAATTCTCTAACTACTGCTTAATTACTTCGAATTATATTGCATTTTGCGAAGGTCCAAAGAGTGTGAGTCGTTTAGCTCAATGACTGACGGAAGCTCGATCCTCCATCCGTTAATCGCGGTTCATCTTCTGACCAGTTGGTTAGAAGGTGGGCCACGAATAGCAGATGGTCTGTCTCGGAGAGCTTAGACAAGTTTCTGTAATCGTCAGTATGACGGCTGCTGGCACCCAGCAACCCTTGCTCACAATCTGAGTAGAAAAGGAAGGCTTGATTCAGTTTTGTAACCACCGGAGGCTTCAACAGGATGACCCTAACGGTTCTTAGGTTTTGCCTTTGAATGAGATACCCGCAACAGTCGACTAACTCCTAGATATATATTTACTGCTTAGATGATAATATATAATGCCGACAAGTTGAGTAAGACACATGTACAACAATTCGGTATTTTTATTGTTGAAACGTTTCTCCTACACGGCAAGCTTCTTCAGTCAAATACAGAGGCAGCAGGTATAGTAATGAAATAAAGATGTAATCAGTCCATCAACCTTCGAGAAATAGTATCTGAGGCGGTCAGTCCCTTAGCCTGGAGAAGAGTTCATCTCCATGGACTGGAACGATACGAAGCTGAAGTCGAAGAATAGTCTTAAATACTGTTACTACTTGGTAACAGCTCGCCCAGCCCAGGATCAGAAGGGATTACTTTCGCATCTGAACCGAATGCTTTTTGACTGAGTTCCGAGGTACGTTTTTGATGGCTTTAAAAAAAGAGAGAGACAGAGAGACAGATAGAAGTAGACAAACGGATCTTAAAGTTGAGAGAACTGAAGCCACACTGACCAAAAGAAATAACAGCCTTTGTTTCACCAAGACAAACAAACATTGAAAGTTTTAAATCAAGTTATCACACGGAAACCGCGCAGAGGACTGCACAAGGAGAGAAGAAAGAATAAGAATGATCAGGGAGGAAAAACAGAAAAAAGAAGAAAGATGAAGATACTAGAGAAAAGAACGAAGAAGAACTCTGTGATATACTGTATGTATCCTCGCCAGACATAACTAATTCCGAGGCACTGAGTCAGTCCTACACAAACTTCCTTCATCTAGTAATCTAGTTGCTTAAATATTAGATGGCGTGGCCGCCAGCTGGCAGGTGAGGACTGGGACACAAGCCTGAGGTCACCAGCTGGCATGTAGTGAGTGGGGCACCAGCTTGAGGCCACCAGCTGGCTTGCAGACTTCAGGAAAATTCTTATTTAGAGGAGAGAAAGGAGACGAGAAAGGAGGAGAGAGAGAGGAAGGAGAAGAGAGAAAGGAGGAGAGAGCAATGATGTCAACACCGTTCAGAAGACAAATGCCTGGGTGTGGACCGGGGTGCAACAGGTGATAATGGAGCTCCAATTAATTAATTATTGTATAGCAGAAAGCAGGAGAATAACAGAGCTGGAACCTCCACGACGCTTGGTCCAAAACGTTTATTCTGCTGGTGCTGCTTCCGCTAGGGATGCTGCTACTGCTGTTAGGGCAGATACAGCGATGCCGGTGCTGTTTGCATTGTTGCTGTTACTAGTGCTTCTAGTGCTGATATTTCTGATGGTGTTAGTGCTGTTGTTGGTCCAGCTGCGCCAGGTGGTGCTACAGATGCTTTTGGTGCTGCTGTTTGTTCGTAGTGGATGTAGTGAGGTAGACTCACTGTAGTGGTAGATGTAGTGAGGTAGACTCACTGTAGTGGTAGATGTAGTGAGGTAGACTCACTGTAGTGGAAGATGTAGTGAGGCAGACTCACTGTAGTGGTGGATGTAGTGAGGCAGACTCATTGTAGTGGTGGATGTAGTGAGGCAGACTCACCGTAGTGTTGAATGTAGTGAGGCAGTCTCACCGTAGTGGAGGATGTAGTGAGGCAGACTCACCGTAGTGGAGGATGTAGTGAGGCAGACTCACTGTAGTGGAAGATGTAGTGAGGCAGACTCACTGTAGTGGTGGATGTAGTGAGGCAGACTCATTGTAGTGGTGAATGTAGTGAGGCAGACTCACCGTAGTGTTGAATGTAGTGAGGCAGTCTCACCGTAGTGGAGGATGTAGTGAGGTAGACTCACTGTAGTGGAAGATGTAGTGAGGCAGATTCATTGTAGTGGTGGATGTAGTGAGGCAGACTCATTGTATTGGTGGATGTAGTGAGGCAGACTCATTGTAGTGGCGGATGTAGTGAGGCAGACTCACTGTAGTGGTGGATGTAGTGAGGCAGACTCACCATAGTGGAGGATGTAGTGAGGCAGTCACCGTAGTGGAGGATGTAGTGAGGCAGACTCATTGAAGTGGAGGATGTAGTGAGGCAGACTCATTGTAGTGGAGGATGTAGTGAGGCAGACTCATTGTAGTGGAGGATGTAGTGAGGCAGACTCACTGTAGTGGAGGATGTAGTGAGGCAGGCTCACCGTAGTGGAGAATGCAGTGAGGCAGACTCACCTTAGTGGAGAATGTAGTGAGGCAGACTCACCGTAGAGGAGAATGCAGTGAGGCAGACTCACCGTAGAGGAGAATGCAGTGAAGCAGACTCACCGTAGTGGAGGATGTAGTGAGGCAGTCACCGTAGTGGAGGATGTAGTGAGGCAGTCACCGTAGTGGAGGATGTAGTGAGGCAGACTCATTGTAGTGGAGGATGTAGTGAGGCAGACTCATTGTAGTGGAGGATGTAGTGAGGCAGACTCACCATAGTGGAGGATGTAGTGAGGCAGACTCACCATAGTGGAGAAAACAGTGAGGCAGACTCACCGTAGTGGAGAATGCAGTGAGGCAGACTCACCGTAGAGGAGAATGCAGTGAGGCAGACTCACCGTAGAGGAGAACGCAGTGAGGCAGACTCACCGTAGAGGAGAATGCAGTGAGGCAGACTCACCGTAGAGGAGAATGCAGTGAGGCAGACTGACCGTAGAGGAGAATGCAGTGAGGCAGACTCACCGTAGAGGAGAATGCAGTGAGGCAGACTCACCGTAGTGGAGAATGCAGTGAGGCAGACTCACCGTAGAGGAGAATGCAGTGAGGCAGACTCACCGTAGAGGAGAATGCAGTGAGGCAGACTCACCGTAGAGGAGAATGCAGTGAGGCAGACTCACCGTTCACATTCCGTGGACAATTTAGGAACAACCTGACAGAATTCATTTCTTTCAACTGAATTCGTTTACACATTTCGGAAAATTCTTTGCTTTCTCTTCTTCGCCTTGTGTTTCTTCTATCTTATTTTTATTGTTTTTTCTTTTATTTATTGATTGTTCTCCTTCTGGTGATCCATTTTTAAACAACTCCTTCATTTTCTATATTTACTGTTTTTTCATTCTTTCTATCTTCCTCTGCTGCTCCTCCTCCTCCAGTATATTCCTGTGTGTTTGTGTGTGTGTGTGTGTGTGTGTGTGTGTGTGTGTGTGTGTGTGTGTGTGTGTGTGTGTGTGTGTGTGTGTGTGTGTGTGTGTGCGTGCGTATGCAATAAGATCACAGTAAACAGGTGATATCAGAAAATGCAAAACAACCACTGAAAGAATAGCGAAATTCCAAGCACTTTCGTGACTTCTCACATTATCAAGGAACTTGATAATGTGACATCTCACATTATATATATATATATATATATATATATATATATATATATATATATATATATATATATATATATATATATCAGATTAATTAATATCGGCCACACCGGGCCACAAACGTCATTACTTACAACTACAACCTTGGTAATGTAATTTACATTTTTGCTTATAAACACCAGCAAATGTGTATTTATAGATGTGAAAATTACTAAGATTATGACTGATAATATTTTTCTCACCTTTTGGACGTAAAGAGAACTGGAAAAAAATAATGTCTTGAGTTTCCCTCTGGTGCCTTAGACGAATCACACATTAGTGGCTGTGATTAATGAGTGTAGTGTTTCCCGTGTGTGTTAACAGTATATTTTTCGCCGTGTGTGATAGCTATACTATGTGATAATCAAAGAGGACTACTATAATTTAGAATATCAAGATAGATAGAATATATATTTGGTTGCAGCTTGCCTTGAAATGGTTAATGATTTTTGCTGGTTAAACAAGGTTGCACTCTACGATAGCTTAAGTGTGTAGCTTGAAGACTGTTAAGTATAGCTTAATCTGTAGCTCAAGATACTGTACACGCTCTAGTGAACAAGCTCTAGTGAACGATAACTCAAGCGCCTGTGTTCAGTAACACAAGGTATAGTGCACGTCAACTTTAGCAACAATGCAAGATAACTTAAGCACGGTAGCTTAAACTACGGTGAACGACAATTTCAGCTACAGTGTGTGATATCTAAAGCCACTTTACCATAACTCAAGCTAAAATGTAAAATCGTGACTATCTCGACATCGTGTATGACAAATCAAACCACAGTTTACGATAGTCCAAGTGTAAACTACGATAATTCAGGCTGCAGTGAACGATAATTTAAGATACCCTTTAGTCCAGCTATACAGTACACAATAACTGTCAGTGCATCAATCATATACGGTGTATGATAACTCAAGCTAATGGTGTAAGATAACTCGGTTCACAATATGTAATAGTTATTTATAACGAGTAATAATTCCACCTATATTTTGCGTGTCAGTCTGCAATACGCTATATATCAAGCTAGTGTAATAACTTAGAAAGCTTCCAGTAAACATTAACAACGCTTCACGTCTCGACTTTGTGTGTATTAAAAGAGCAAATGTTCTGCCGTATTTGGGTAGATTATATGCGCACGATAACTGCCAATAATTCATGCACAGTAAACAGTTAGTAAATATATGACGAGTGTAAATTAAATAGGTCGTGAAAAGTGCGCCATAACTGTGTCATAAACAGTGCACAAAAAGTTGATTTCATGAACAGTGCACATCAAGTTCATAGTATCTAAGTCACGTCGAAGTGTTCCAACTGTAAGCGGTACTCAGGCAGGAGTTCTCTCCATATTTTCCTTAACCTAGTCATACCTCAGAGGCACTGTGCTAACAGGCCTTATCAATACCCAGCAAGGCACTGTGCTGCCAGTAACTGTGACCTCAGGGTAGGCACTGTTTTGCTGAGCACTGGAGCCAGTGAGAACTCGGTGACGTGGAGGTACGAGAGGTCACAGGGAGATGCGAGGTGAATGTTCCATGACCCTGGTTAGCCCACTCCCCGCCACATGACTCTTCCCTCGGCGGTGCTGACCGCTTGCGGGCCCCAGCGTCCCCTAGAAGAGCTGAAGGGGCGTGTTGACTAGTGAGGTCCCTCGGAGGACCCAGATACCAGTGTTATATGCCCCGTGAGTGCCCCGCCCGGACCTTCATTCCCCGTCATCACCGGCTAGGTGCCCGAGGCTTGCTGAGACCGCCAGGAAGAAGGCGGGTGCAGCGGGTGCGGCGCAGGAGGCTGCAGGGGCAGCTTGGGAGCTAGAGCCACGGCCAGGGTGAGCTGGGTCAAGCTGGTGGCCAAGGTGGTGGGCCAATCGGCAGCGGTGGAGGTGGTGGTGGGGGGCAGGACGCCGGGAGAACGCTCCCACGGGCCTGTGGCCCCTCGCACCATGGAGGACAGCAGCGCCTTCACACTCGGATCCTGCCAAAAAATTGTCACCGAGGACCTCCCAGCCGCAAGAAGAGCCTGGCAAATAGGATACCACCGTGAGTACTAACCTTTTGTTTATTGCTAGGGGAAATTCTGCTTTCATTATCCTGGTCCCCTTTCCTTGAAGGGCGCGAGGGAACAAATTAATGCTATTATTGTTTGTGCCACCAATATATATTAATGCATAGTTGTAGAATGCTTAGGAAATAGTTGGCTTTGGGTGGTTAGTGTATGCAATAACCAATCTATTGCAGTATTAGTGAGTGTGCAGAAAACAGAAACATTTCATAATGTTTTCTAAATATGTTCTCAAAAGAAAAAAACTTTCCATAACTAACACATCAGAGAGGTGAGGCAAGACGACAGAAGAGTTACACCTGGAAGGTGAGGCAAGAGTCGAGTAGAAGTACCCCATATCAAAGCTGAAGCAGATACACAGCAGCTTACACATACGAGCTGTAACATACGGAAAGGAGTAGGAGTTCTGAAGACAGGAGATAATAGTTGTCCTTTTTCATATTCGGTATTGGCAACACAATTCAGAATATCTGTAAGAGTTTTGAAACTGAGGAAGATAATCAACTTATCACTGACTTCCATATTCTCGTCCAGGAGGTTCTAAACAAGAAACAATGTGTTTTTGATGACTGTAGCGCAGCAGGGGCCAGGGGGCATCACCATGTGTGGGGCAGTTAAGGATATGATAGACGGTGAGGGTGCTACCACTCGAATAGTTGGGGAAAATTTTCTCCTAACATATGGGTGGAAGTTAGTAAATACAGTGGAATTTAGATTTTTACAAGCCAGCATAACTTCGTTTCGTTTGTTTATATTGATGGAGGTAGGCTAATTGTCCATATTCAGTAAACTAGTTTACTGTAACTAGGTTCATATCTTGACACTGACAAAGAGGATATAATGATAACTTCCCAACAAGAGTATCTCCTCCAGTTGACGGAGTTCTAATAAGGCCTACTTGGTATGAGGGTACTAAGAGTATATTTCGTAACTGCCAGGTTCTCAGTTCAAATTAATTTTAATCATGGTTTTGGCTTGTTAAGATTTTCTTTTAATCTTTTTCGTGATAATACCATCACGAAATCTATCCTTCCTTTTTCTTGATTATTATTATTATTATTATAATAAAAAAGAAGCGCTAAGCCACAAGGTGGGGATATTTGCTCTTTCGTTTAAACTTAATGTGACACTGTCAATAACTTTGAATTCTTGATATTGTATGAGGCATGCGAATAATTAATTCCGATTTTTTTTCTTTTCTTTTGATAACATTTTCTGTAATAAGGCAACAAATCTGTCACGATATCAAAATTAAAATAGTAGACATAATGAAAAGCAACTGTTCATTTTGAAAGAACAAAACAAATAGAGTACTGGTGTATTCTTATGAAATGAGGTGCTTTCTAGTAATTAGGAATGTTAGGATGAACACCACCTTGAGGAGCTAAGTTTCAGGAAATTGTTTTGGTCGAAGAGGGAGTTTCCTTCAGCCTCCGGCAGGTCGAACCTTCCTGTCCTCTTTCATACCAGCGTTGCTGTTAGAGAGGTACCGGAAGTTCATCTATGTAGGCGGGGACATCTGTGAATCCGGATCTATTAATGACTTTGACCAACATCCTCGAACATAACCCTGTTCATGCTTCGAGGATCAAGCTCATTACTTATTGGGCTGAAAGAGCAAGCAGTTGTGAAATAGGTTTTACAGTGATCACTGCGAGTACTCTGTGTTTCTTCACTGCGGTCCTACAGGTATCCTCGCTGCTCGTCTCCAGGTTCCTGACCATAGTGGCTACATATTCTCGATTAACTCGAACTCGCCGAAAGGTGGTACATCCTTGTTATCACGATACATCCATGTAGTTAGAAAGCTAATGCTCTTAGTTAGGATGCTGAGACAGCCTTGTAATTGTAATTGGTGGATTCTGGTTGCTACTAGAATGATAGTTGTGATCTAGACAAGATCATTGCCTCTACTTCTAAAACAGATGTACCGATCCTCATCGTTACTTCTTTCCTCCTTTCTAGTTTTTTTTTTTAATTCTGCAGTTTTCATTATCTAAGTTTCCTGTCATAATCGTACATGTTCTGTGCACTCTTCATTTTCTTTCTTATCCCTCACACATCTCTTTCAGATTTTTGTTTCATATCCTCCTTACATTTCCCATATATTCTTTCATTATCCGTCTTCCTTCTCACAACTCTGTGTCAGCCATTCTTCCTTCAATCAGCCAGACCATTAGTCTTTCTCTCAGAAGATTTTCCTCTCCTTTGCCAAATTTTATTCCTTTGACTTTCATTTCTCCGAAAATGGTTTTGTATAAATAATATAGAATTTTACTTAGGATAACCCATTTTAAGTCAAATAATATGACATTTTCCTTGAGGAAATTGTATGTGACTTTCAGTAGAGTGAATTTAGAGAATTTAAATGCACTCAGTGCATATTAAGTGATTTAAAGTTGGTGAAAGAATTGTGGAATTTACAATACCAGATGTTTTCTGTTTCCCTCCCGTACCTCACCTATCCCACTGTCCTCTCAACCCCTACTGTCCCTTTCCTTCCCACCCTCCCTCCTACCACCACTCATAGCTTCTTAATGGAATACTTGACGATATCGTCATTGCCTTACTGAAGTCTTCTCGCTCAGGGCGGCAGACTCCAACATTATGTAGTAACCAATCCTGTGTGATGGGATGTGACAGGGTATCAGAGCTAGCTCTTGCTCTTATTATATATCTATCACAAACCTGGGAACGGGTAGGGTTTGAACCATGACGGGTCACGGTTCAAAAAACACCCATTCCCTGGTTTGTTTACAGTAGTGTTATTACGATTTCCCGAGCCATATAACTATGTATTTAAAACATATCACATTCCTGACGTGACCAGTTTGGCTAACTATACAAAAACGGTCCCCATATCCCTTCCACCTTCTCTCTGCTCCACGACCCTCCGACAGTCTATCCCACCTCACCCCTGACTTCCCGTTTAACCTCTCCGCCGTCTGTTGTCGCCCACGCCGCCCCCTGCCGTATTGGGTGATGATGAAGGTGGGGAACTTTCAAGCGATGCAGATTTAGCGACTCATAATTTGCGGCAGCTAACTCATGTGATATGTCTGCCCCTTACCCTCTCAGAGGGAGGGGAAGAGAGGGAAAGGGGAATGAAGGAGGGAAGGCAAAGGGAGGGAAGTAAAGAAGGAAAGGGGTGGGATGGAAGAGGAAAACATAAAGTAACAAATATTATTAATATTGTTATTATAGCTATTTTCACAAAACAAAGAAGTAAACCCACAGGGGCCATACAACGCCCGGAAAATGAAAAGCAATAAAGACTGATAGAAGGAAGGGGAGAATGGATCCAATATTTTGGATCAAGAGCCTTTCACCAGCATCAATATACTTCCACGCAGGGTGACTATAAGAACCAAAATGGAAAAACAAAAAGGTCACCATTAACTTTTTTTACACTATGAGAAAAATATTTTTAAAAAGAAAAATATTGTTGAAAATACAATTTGCACAAGTCTACGAATAACTATAAAAAAAAAATATATATTCCCAAGTTTATGGACAACTACGAAAAAATTAAATTTGTTAAAATTGTTTGAAAAACAATATTCCGGTGACTCTAGGCAACTATATATATAATATATATATATTATATATATATATATATATATATATATATATATATATATATATATATATATATATATATATATATATATATATATATATAGTGGAGTTTAAGAGATTGTGAATCTTAACTTGAGTAAATAATACGAATTTCTATTCTGAATTGTACATTTGGATGTTTGTTCTTATATATGAATATATAAACACTTATCTATTAAACATTGTATTACATGTATTGTATTATTGTATTGTATTGCATTACAAGTTATTATCAGCGATAACTATTTTCTATATTTATACGTGTGTAGCTGCTCTGACTTGTGTGCTTTGAAAGTTACGTTGAACTATTACTGTTATTGATACTCGAGTAGATTGTTTATAGTGGATAAATATTAGGACAGGAAGGATGCATGGAACCAGTCCTTCTGACGAGGATACAGTTACATTAGGACAGGAAGGATGCATGGAACCAGTCCTTCTGACGAGGATACAGTTACATTAGGACAGGAAGGATGCATGGAACCAGTCCTTCTGACGAGGATACACAATGTTACATTAGGACAGGAAGGATGCATGGAACCAGTCCTTCTGACGAGGATACACAATGTTACATTAGGACAGGAAGGATGCATGGAACCAGTCCTTCTGACGAGGATACACAATGTTACATTAGGACAGGAAGGATGCATGGAACCAGTCCTTCTGGCGAGGATACACAATGTTACATTAGGACAGGAAGGATGCATGGAACCAGTCCTTCTGACGAGGATACACAATGTTACATTAGGACAGGAAGGATGCATGGAACCAGTCCTTCTGACGAGGATACACAATGTTACATTAGGACAGGAAGGATGCATGGAACCAGTCTTTCTGACGAGGATACACAATGTTACATTAGGACAGGAAGGATGCATGGAACCAGTCCTTCTGGCGAGGATACACAATGTTACATTAGGACAGGAAGGATGCATGGAACCAGTCCTTGTGACGAGAATACACAATGTTACAATTAGGACAGGAAGGATGCATGGAACCAGTCTTTCTGACGAGGATACAGTTACATTAGGACAGGAAGGATGCATGGAACCAGTCCTTGTGACGAGGATACACAATGTTACTAATTTAGGACAGGAAGGATGCATGGAACCAGTCCTTCTGCCGAGGATACACAGTTACATTAGGACAGGAAGAATGCGTGGAACCAGTCCTTGTGACGAGGATACACAGTTACATTAGGACAGGAAGGATGCATGGAACCAGTCCTTCTGACGAGGATACACAGTTACATTAGGACAGGAACAATGCGTGGAACCAGTCCTTCTGGCGAGGATACACAGTTACATTAAAATCGTCCATGAGATAAGACGCTGTACTATGACAAATATCAGTGATGCAG